AGGCGAGAGGAGTCGACAACATCGGCCCCATCGACATCCAGAGGCTCCCCGAGAAAGGGATCCAGGAGCTCGCCGAGATCTACAACCAGGTGGAGGCCAACGGGCTGTGGCCTCAGCAGCTTTGCGCCATCATTGGGGCCATGGCCCCCCAAGCCCGCAGGTGGAGAGAGAATCTTGGGCATGCTCCCCACAATCCCCAGGACGCGGGCCAAGGTCCGCTCCAGCGTAACCGACGAGTGGCCCAGGGAGCTCGCTGAGTTCTGGGACACCGCCATCAAAGGCTCCAGCGCCTTAAGGGCAGCGCTAGTGAGGACGTTACTTGACGAGACGGCGGCGACCTTCGGCGTGGCCTTCGCGACCTTGCTGATGGACGTAGAGAAGTTCTACGACTCGGTCTGCTACGAGGCCCTCTTCGAAGCTGCGGTCGGGGTCAACTTCCCCCCGATTGCCGTGGCGATGAAGGTGCAGCTCTACCTGGCGCCCAGGTACTTGCGGATGCACGGCTGGGTCAGCGACATCATAGACGCCGAGAGGCCCATAGTCGCGGGCAGCTGCAATGGCGGTAAGCTCGCCAAGGTATACCCGGGGCCGATCCTGCAGAGGGCCCACACCAACCACACGCACGCTGACCTGTGGACGTTCGTGGACGACACGGTCGCGAGGACAGAGGGCCAAACCGAGCAGGTCATCGGAGATCGCATTGGGGTTGGCGCCGACCTATTCGAAGGAATGACGGGCGCGGGGCTAAGAGTCGCCCCCAAGACCACCGCAGTCGCCTCCAGCCAGACGATTGCCTACGCAGTGCACGACGGTCTCAAGAAGAAGGGCTACCACGTCAATGTGGCCAACAGCGCGGTCGACCTCGGCATCGACGCGGGAGGCGCCAAGAGACGGGTTGTCGCCAAAGCAATCAAGAGGGCCAGGACCGCGAGGAGGCGCACTTACCGCATCGTGGCCAAGGTCAGGAAGCACGCCTCCCTAGCCAAGATCGCGAAGGGCTTGTGGAACACGGGATCCAGGCCGCAGGGGACCTACGGCCACCAGATCATGGGCATCGCCCCAGCGGCCATCCTCGACCAGAGGCGCCAGGCCGTTCAGGCCACGGCGGGGAAGGTCCCTGGCCGCTGCCTCTCCACAGCCCTCGCCGTCGCCATGGGGAAGAAGGACCCCGCGATCGAGCTCAGGCGCCAGTCAATCGCCGAGTGGCTCAACTTCTGGATGCAGTACCCAGAACACCATAGTCGGGTCACGCAGGCGTGGAAGCGGATATACGACAAGTCGATCAAGTACGGCAACAAGAAGTGGAGGAAGGTCAAGGGGCCCATCTCCGCCATCCAGGCCATTCTCCTGGACGCAGGCTGGACCTGCCCGACGCCGACGGAGTTGTCGCGACCTCCGTGGGCAGGCGAGACCTACTCGCAGGAGTGGCAGCTACCCCACAGTGGCCAGGCCGACTGGGAGGACAAACGCAACGACGTGGACCCCGCGGAGTTCGTCCACGAGTTCTGCCTCTCCCTCGAGAGGAGCTTGTGGAGGGATGCTGCCAAACACCCACACGGAGAAGGACTGCAACGAGGGGGCCCAGACGTCCACATAGTTGCCAACGAGATGGAGGAGAAGTGCACGAGGAAGGGCCAGTACGACCAGGCGGCCCTCAACCTCTGCGTGGTCGCGGGGGCGCAATGTCCCAGAAGCCGACTCATCGAGACGGGGTACAACGCTACTCCAACGTGTCCCAAGTGCGGTGGGGCCGACGAGACGCTCATGCACAGGGTCTGGCTGTGCCCGTGCAACCGCGAACACGAGGACTACACGGATTCTGACGCCCTCATGCCCTCTGCCCTGGCGGGAGCAGAGGCTGCCCCCGCATACTGGCTCCGCGGCCTGCCTGCGTGCGATGACACGCACCCGCTCTTCGCTTCGTTGGGAGGGGACGGCGGGTGGAGCTGGGTTGGGCGGGAGTGGGAGGATTGCGTCAGCAGCGACGGCACACTCACCCTCTTCGGGGACGGCTCGGGAGGTCAGCACAGTGATGACCCACGACGCCGAAGAGTGGGAACCGCCTGTGCCGCCATGAAGTGCCTCTTCGGGGGGTGGGTCCCCTGGGGAGGCATCATTTCGGGCCTCGAGGGCCCCTTTCAGACTGTCCCTCGTGCTGAGCTGCTGGCTTTCGCGCTTGCCCTAGAGCACTGGGACGGTGATCTCTGCTTCATCACAGACCACCTCCCGCTATATGACGGATGGCGGTCGAATGGACACTTGCGCCCCCGCGATGGCGCCAATCAGGATTTGTGGGCACGTATTGCAAAAAGCAATACGTGCACGTGGTAGTAGGCAGCTCGCAGTGATCTGGGTGCCCTCACACAGCGAGGAGTCACCTGGCCTCGCCTCTGACCCTGTGCGCTATTTTCACACCATTGGTAATGCGACGGCCGATGCATGGGCGGGGGTAGCGGCCCAACGGTCCTACGAGGCAGCGCTCGTGGGACAGGCCCCTCCCACGGACCTGCACGATGCACAGTGCACCCTCATCCGCAGGAGGGCGCGCCGAGCCCTAGCTGACACGCTTGCAGTCGACCCCTGGGTGGCGGAGCGACCCTCGCAGGCCAAAGGCCCGCGTCTCACCAAGCTGCAGCTAGCCATGCGTTCGAGCCAGCACGCCTTTGTGCTCAGAGCGGGCAAGTATCTCTGCTCGCGGTGTGGGCTCACCACCGACAAGTGTAAAGTACGCCAGGCCTGCGCCACGCCGTACACCCACCAGACCCACCTTCCGTCCGCCAGCGACCTGATAGTGCCAGTACACGGCACCATCACAATCGCTGGCCGCGAGCTGCACGCCAGCCATAAGCTTCATTTCATGCAGAAGTACCGCCTGTATTTTTGTCGCGGGTGCGGCAAGACGGCCACAGAGGACCCACGCCACCTCGCCGCACCCTGCGCAGGCGCTGTTTCGAAGAAAGGGCGAGAGAACCTCGCCAAGATTGACAAGGGAGAATTTACCCGCGCCCACGCGGGGCGCGATGGCCTCACCAAATTTGTGCGAGCAGCTACCCACGGCATAGCCGTGGAAGAAATTTCAGCTGCCGCGGCGCCTGCCGCTGCAGTCGTCACTTCTGGCCAGGGCTAGAATGCGTTTGGCATCGCCCGAACTTCGCACCTGGGTGCGCTCGGTCTGTTCCTCTGTTCCTCCTCCTCCTCCTCCTCCTCCTCCTCCTCCAGTGCGCGCGCGAGTTCCCGGCATCTCACGGGAACTGCGTTTTTCTCAAGCGCCTGTGCGCCGCTTTCTGGCCAGGTCGCCCCCTTCATCTGGCAGGGGATATGTCGACCCCTGTCCCAGGCTTCGCGGGGGTTCGAATGGACCAGAAATTTTGGGGCCCAACCCTGGGACGTACGACGCGGGGGCGTCCATCCTCGATAGGGGTGCGTCCGAACAGCCCCCGTGAGTTCTATCCCAGGGCTTTCCTGCTTTTCTGGGCGGCTTCAGTCTTTGTGGAAAAGTCTGAGGCTGGGGAAGAAAAATCGACTGCGACCCTGCATCCTCCCCCTAAAACAAGTGACACGCGTGCCCTGGCTCTCGCACAGTCAGACAACGAAGGACGGGAGGAGGAGGACGAACCACGAACCACCAACATAAAGGGTTCCGCGGCCCCGTGGAGCTGCCCTGGGAGGCCCCAGGGAGCCAGGCAGCCAGGGTGGGAGGCCAGGGGGGGAGGACGAACCACGAACCACGAAAACGAAGAGGTCCGAGCTCTGGAACACAGCTGTGCAAGAGCATGAGTGGAATGAGCCTCATGGCCTGGGCTCTCACCGGGCGCCTGGGGCTGCCGCCTCCCGGCAGCGGCCCGCCCTCGTCGCACCGTGCACGCGGCCACGGCAGGGCCTCGCGTGGCGGCCCGGTGCCACTCGGACCGGGCTGCCACCCTGTGGCAGCAGGATCGCCGTCGTCGTGGTCGCCGAGGATGAGGACGAGGAGCGAGGAGGCGTAGGAGGACGACAAGAACAGGGAGGAAGAGGAGGAGGAGGATAATGAAGATGACTATGACGAGGAGGAGGAGGAGGAGGAGGAGGAGGAGGTGAAGGAGGAGAAGGAGGAGGACACAATCATCTTGTCGCAATCACCACCATCACTATCGTCATCGTCGTTATCGTCGACACTGCCGACGCGACCATCATCATTCGCTCTCTCTCTCTCTCTCTCTCATACACACATGTGTGCACAAATGAACGAAGACAACACGTTCCCCTGTATCTAGAAAACTAGGCCCAAGATGGCCGCAAGACGGGGCAATTGGATCATTCGACGGCCCACGAGGGCCCGAAGAGGACCCCCAAGAGGTGGCCAGAAACCCCGCTGACGACCCGTTGATTGTTGCACGATTTTCACCCACTCGCCTTCGCCACCTCAGAGCCTCCACGACGGCCCAGGATAAGAGACCCCCGAGCTCGCCCCAGTAGCTATGCCCCGCAATGTGGCGCAGATCGGGGCCAAAGACAGCTTGAGAAGGGCAAGATAACCCCCAAAAGGGCCCTAAAGCGCCACGCGAGGGCCCCAGAGGGTCTCCAAATTGCCGACAAGAGCAGTGCCTAACAGGCCTCCAGACCGCCCCAAGAGACCCCCAAGACGGCCCAGAGGAGCCCGAGACTGCACAAGAGGGCCACAAGATGACCCAACAGGCCCCCCCCGACGGCTTCACAACGGCCCGAAGAGGCCAGGACGCACCCTCTCACAGCACTGGATGAGTGTGACGACGGTCAGAACGTCAACATGTGTATGCATAGATGTATATATATATATATATATGTATACATACATAAATCTAAAAAAAAAAAAAAAAAAAAAAAAAAAAACATGCATGTATGTGTATATGTAAATATACACTTGGTCATAACAACTACCTTTCTACATATGCACCTGTGAACACACACATAATACTAAGGTGACAGACCACACGCCCCTGAAGCTCCATGAGTGCCGCTCACATCGTGACAATTTGGTGAACCCCCTGTCCGGACGTACTGTTGCAAAGCACTGCTAATTATATTGTTTGCAAGGATAGGTATTCGGTTTCTCGTTGTATGCCAGGGGGCACACCTCGAACTCATAGTACTTCTCCATGATGAGAGTCTCTCCTGGCGGCTGCTTCGTGAAATTGAAATACTCAACGCCGTCGGGGAACGGCTGGCGCCGCCGCCGTCGGTTCCACCTGACTTTAGAGTGCGGGCTGGCGGCAGTTGCCATAGAATCCACCTGCGTATGGGCGTTGTCGCCCACGTTCAAATCAGCCGTTCCAAGGCAACTCTTCTTGTACTCAACCACAGAGACCGTGTATCCAATGCTCTCTACCTCCACTTGTGCTAACTGTTCCTCATTCGTCTGCACTGTTGTAATGCCGGGGCACAATCGCATATCAGGATTGATACAATCCCCTACGTCACAGAGCGAGCTAACGTTCAGATATAATGTGTCGAGGTTGGTGTCGGTGTCCTCCGAAGTCCTGAACTGCATCTGTCCCTGCATGGTTGCAGACTCTTCGGCTGTGGACACCCACCACTTATTCAGCTTGTGCCCAGAACATCGAACCTGATAATCTGTCCCAGGATATAACCCTTCCACGGTGAATTGAAAATACAAGCCGTCCTCCGCCTGCTCCATGTTCAGATCGGCGTTCACCGAACGGCACTTCTGGTCCTTCGTCGGAGCGATGGATTCATTCACAAGACGAATGCATTCCTGTTCGTCCTTCGGGCCCACAGTGCAGTTGAAGGTAGATGCCAAATCCCACATCAGCTCAAAAGTCGCACTGGTGGTCGTTTTGGAGACTGCGGCGAAGGCAATTAAGCTCGGCTGGACATCGATAAAGGTGAAAGTGAAATTGACGAGGGGGGACAATTTCGTAGGATAAGTCTCTGTGCAAACGAATCCTTCCTCCTGGATCACCCGAAAGTCACAACCTGGTTGGAAGAAACCCTCAGGCAGCGTGAAGATCAAGATGCTCTTGGCTGTCAGGTCAACCTTCGGAAATTGACCATTTACTTCCACCATTGACGCGTTGGTCTCAAAATAACCATCATCACAATACTGGCCCGATCTTGTTATCGAAAACTTCGAGTCTGCTGGATCCCACAGCTCGACCCAATGCCAGTCACTGACGCTGAGGGTCGATCCAGCCGGCGTGGCTCCAGGCGTGGCCTGGGCAACCACATCTGGGATGCAGTTGACCTGGAAAGTGATCAAGATCTGCATTGGGTCCTCCGTCACGTCAGTTTCTGGCACTCTCAGCGAAAGGACTGGACTCTCGACGACTTCCATAGTCACGGCGTAGGACTCCGTCCAAGGGCTGACGAGGAGGTCCTCGTCGCACACCTGTGTCACACGAAATGGGTACGTCTGCCCCTCGCTTACCCTGCTCCTCTTCCACCTCTTCTTGCTCCTCTTTCTCCTCCTACTCCTCCTTATCCTCCTCCTCCTCCTCCTCCTTCTCCTCCTCCTCCTCCTCCTCCTCCTACTCCTTTTCCCTCTCCTCCTCATTCACCTCCTCTCTACTCGTTGCGCACCTCTCTCACGCGGAACTTGTACGATCGCCCCTCGAGCAGGTTGATCGCAACGCAGACCTTTACGACCGCACTCCTCGTGAAGCCCGTTCTGTTCGAACAGCCCTCGATATTCATCCAATCCCCCCAGGAGACGCCGTCGTCATCCATCAGCGCTCCCTGCAAGTGGAAGTGGCTGAATGTGCAATGTCCTGCGTCACTCCCTGCCGTCCACCGGATCGTCATGTCCAAATAGCCCGGGTCGTCGAGAAGAAGGGATGCCGGTTTGTCGGCGGGCCTCATGCACCGGAACGTGAGTGGAGTGAGCACACCGTCCACACATGACATGGGGCCCTGAAGATCAGTCGAGTTTGTTGCCATGGGTACGTAGCTTGGCCATCCGCATATCCGCCACCGTGCCTCTGGGCACCGAGTGGGCGGGGCCTGAGTCCTCATTCCTGAAGAGCCTTGAAGGCGCCCAGAGCCGAAATGGCTTCCCGCGGTCCCCTGGGCTCCGGCGCGAGGCACCGATGACGGTCCAAGAGGGCCCCGAGTCGCCGAATGATTCTCTCAAGACGCCCAAGATGGCCCCCAGACGGCCCAAGAGATCCCCAAGACGGCCCAAGAGGGCTCCGAGAGGCCTCCCAAGAGGGCCCCAAGAGGCAAAAATCATGGATTGTCCCCAGGCGTTTGAAGGATTTGGGTGTTCTCGCCTTTTTGGCATCCCGACGCTCCAAAACAGCAAGATACCCCCAAGACCACCCCACCCCAAAACAAGCCAAGAGGCCTCCAAGGTGGCTCCGAGACGGCCCAAGGCGGCCCAAGACGGCCCAAGAGGCGACAAAGACGGCCCAAGAGGGCCCCAAGACAGCCCCAAAAGGGGCCCAAGAGAGGGAACACGATCCGAAAATCCAAGCCTTCCGGCCCAAGAGGCCCCCAAGAGGCTTCAATCCAGGCCCCCAAGAGGCCCCCAAGAGGCCCCCAAGAGGCCCCCAAAAGGCCCAAACGAGGCCTCAAGAGGCCCCCAAACGCCCCCAAGAGGCCTCCCAACTGCCTCCAAGAGGCCCCCCCGGAGGTCTCCCACGAGATCCCAAAGAACATCGAATTTGCTTCATACCCACAAACCAGGCACAATGGCGGGATGGGCCGAAAGCCATTTGACCTGGGCCGGCACGGAAAAGGAAAGAGCGCTTCAGAAACAGAAACCGGAATTACTCACACCACCGTTCGTTCGTACTGCGAGCCTTGGCGTTGAGAGCTTGTTACGTCACCCCTCGCTGTTGGGAGCCTTGGTGTGCAAAGATTGTTGCGTTGCCGCCCGTTCCTGAGCCTTGGCTGGGCCTTGATGTCAAAAACTTATGACGTCACCGCTCTCTGCTGGGAGCATTGATCTTATCAGCTTGTTTACGTCACCGTTCGCTCTTGGGAGCCTTGGTGTGAAGAGCTTTTTGCGTTACCGATCGCTCTTTGTTTGGCGTCTCTGGGCCTTCTTCGGAATCCTACGGAGGCCCTTTTGGAGCCCTTTTGGGGGCCTCTTGGGGGCCTCTTGGGGGCCTGTTGGGGCTTCTTGGGGGCTTATTGGGGCCTCCTGGGGGCTTCTTGGGGCGAAAGGCTAACATTTTCGGTTCGTGGTCCCCCTCTTGGGGCCGTCTTGGGGCTCTCTTGGGCCGTCTTGGGCGCCTCTTGGGCCGTCTGAGGCCCTCTTGGGCAGTTTGGGGGGCCTCCAGGGAGCCTCTTGGGCCGTCTTGGAGCGGTTTTGGGGGGCCTCTCGGACCGTCTTCAACGCCGTGAAAGCCGAAAAGCCGTGTATGCTAAAAATGTACCTTTCCCATAGGACATCCATGATTTTGGCCTCCAGGTGGCCTCTTGGGACGCCTCTTGGGGGCCTTTTGGGGCTTCGTGGGGTGCTCTTGGGGCCTCCTGGGAGCGTCTTGGGGCGAAAGGCTAGACTTTTCGGTTCGTGGTCCCCCTCTTGGGGCCGTCTTGGGGCTCTCTTGGGCCGTCTTGGGCGCCTCTTGGGCCGTCTGGGAGCCCTCTTGGGCCGTTTTGGGGGGCCTCTTGGGAGCCTCTTGGGCCATCTTGGGGCGGTTTGGGGGGCCTCTTGGGCAGTCGTCAACGCAGTGAAAGTCGAAAAGCCGCATATGCTAAAAATGCACGCTTTCCAAAGGAAAATTAATTATCCCGGCAAAGCAACCTAACAGCGATGTGTAGAAGCATATATGGAAGCATTCCCCTTAAGATTCAGATGAGAATCCAGTTGTAGAGTTCTGCTGTTCTCGCAGTCGCAGTCGCATTCGCGATGACAGTCGCAGTGGCAGCGGCAGTCGCAGTCACAGCCTCAGCCTGCCTCAGTATCAGCCTGCCTCAGCCTCAGCCTCAGCCTGCCTCAGCCTCAGCCTCAGCCTGCTTCAGCCTCAGCCTCAGTCTGCCTTCAGCCTCAGCCTCTGTGCCTCAGCCTGCCTCAGCCTCAGCCTGCCTCAGTATCAGCCTGCTTCAGCCTCAGCCTCAGCCTGCCTCAGCCTCAGCCTCAGCCTGCTTCAGCCTCAGCCTCAGCCTGCCTTCAGCCTCGGCCTCAGCCTCAGCCTGCCTCAGCCTCAGCCTCAGCCTCAGCCTCAGCCTCAGCCTGCCTCAGCCTGCCTCAGCCTGCCTCAGCCTGCCTCAGCCTCAGCCTCAGCCTCACCCTCAGCCTCAGCCTCAGCCTGCCTCAGCCTCAGCCTCAGCCTCAGCCTCAGCCTGCCTCAGCATCAGCCTGCCTCAGTCTCAGCCTCAGCCTGCCTCAGCCTCAGCCTGCTTCAGCCTCAGCCTCAGTCTGCCTTCAGCCTCAGCCTCTCAGTGCCTCAGCCTGCCTCAGCCTCAGCCTGCCTCTCAGCCTGCCTCAGCCTCAGCCTCAGCCTGCCTCAGCCTCAGCCTCAGCCTCAGCCTCAGCCTCAGCCTGCCTCAGCCTCAGCCTGCCTCAGCCTCAGCCTCAGCCTGCCTCAGCCTCAGCCTGCTTCAGCCTCAGCTCAGTCTGCCTTCAGCCTCGGCCTCAGCCTCAGCCTGCCTCAGCCTCAGCCTGCATCAGCCTCAGCCTCAGCCTCAGCCTGCCTCAGCCTCAGCCTGCCTCAGCCTCAGCCTCAGCCTGCTCAGCCTCAGCCTCAGCCTCAGCCTCGGCCTCCTCAGCCTGCCTCAGCCTCAGCCCTCAGCCTCAGCCTCAGCCTCAGCCTCAGCCTCAGCCTGCCTCAGCCTCAGCCTCAGCCTCAGCCTCAGCCTCAGCCTGCCTCAGCCTCAGCCTGCCTCAGCCTCGGCCTCAGCCTCAGCCTGCCTCAGCCTCTCAGCCTCAGCCTGCCTGCCTCAGCCTCAGCCTCAGCATCAGCATCACCATTCTCAGCCTGTGCCTCAGCATCAAAATGTGGCCCGGGAATGGAGTTCTGGGAACTCGAAGAGCACGAAGTGGCCTACATCTGGGCATTCAAAATGTGGCCCGGGAATGGAGCTCTGGGAAGTCGAAGAGCACGAAGTGGCCTACAGTTGGCTCCGGGCATTCAAAATGTGGCCCGGGAATGGAGTTCTGGGCACTCGAAGAGCACGAAGTGGCCTACAGTTGGCTCCGGGCATTCAAAATGTGGCCCGGGAATGGAGTTCTGGGAACTCGAAGAGCACGAAGTGGCCTACAGTTGGCTCCGGGCATTCAAAATGTGGCCCGGGAATGGAGTTCTGGGAAGTCGAAGAGCACGAAGTGGCCTACAGTTGGCTCCGGGCATTCAAAATGTGGCCCGGGAATGGAGTTCTGGGAAGTCGAAGAGCACGAAGTGTGTGACTGTTGCATCCGGTTATTCAGAATGTGGCCTGGGAATGGGGTTCTGAGAGGTCGACGAGCACGAAGTGTGTGACTGTTGGTGAAAAACGAGCCCGGCACAGGCCCGGCACCCTGCCGGCCGGCAACTCCCAACGCCTGCCCAGACCCCCCTGTGGAGTGATCTGTGAGCTCTTTTGAGTCAACTAGAAACCTATCAGTCTACGCTGTTAGGTAATGATTTTGGCCTCTTGGGGCCCTCTGGGGACGCCCCTTGGGCGCCTCTTGGGGGCCTCTTGGGGGCCTCTTGGGCCGTCTTGGGCAGTCTTTGGGCTCTCTTGGAGCGCTCTTGGGCTGTCTTTGGGGGGAGCCCGAAAAACATGCAAAAACCTTAGGAAAAACCCGAAAATGGCCATTACCAACCCTGCGTGCCCCCCTCGCCCCTCCCCTGGACCACTCCCTACAGGGCTTCGCCCCACACTGGAACGTCATCACTCGTACCTTGCTGTTTCCGTTACCTGTGCCGGCACGGAAACGGAAAGAGTGCCTCAGAAACTGGCCCGAGAGGGCTCGTGGCCCCCTTCGCTCTTGGGAGCCTTGGTGTGAAGAGCTTGTTACGTCGCCACTCTCCGTTGGGAGCCCTGGTGTTCAGAGACTGTTACATAGCCGCTCGCTCTTGGGAGCCTTGGTGTGACGAGCTTTGTACGACAGCGCGCTCTGGGGAGCCTTGGTGTCAAGAGCTTGTTACGTCACCTCTCGCTGACGGGTGTCATGGTGTTCTTGAGCGTCTCTTGGGCCTCGTCGAGGTCTTCTTGGAGCCCTTTGGGAGGCCTTCGGGAACTCTTTGGAGGCAATTTTGGGCCGTCTTGGAGCCCTTTTGGGACGTCTTGGGGCGTCTTGGAGGCCTTTGGCCGTCTTGGGGCTCTCTTGGGGGCCTCTCGGGGCCTTCTTGGGAGCCTCTTGGGAGCCCCAAGGACGTCTTGCCCTCTTGGGCCGTCTTGGGGCCCTTTTGGACCGTTTTGGGTTCTTCTGGGGCCGTCTTGGGGCCCTGTTAGGCAGTTTTCAAGCCCTTTCGGGGGCATCTTGGGCGGTCTTGGGGCGATATTTGGAGCCTCTTGAGCCGTTTTGGACCGTTCTTGGACCCCAAAAGGCGAGAACCCCAAAGACCTGCAAAAACATTGAAAATTCTAGGCTTTCTGCCCCTGGGGGCCCTTTCGGAGACCCTCTGGAAGGCCTCTGGAACCAGCTTGAAGCTCTCTTGGGCCGTCTGGAGGCCATCTGAGGCTCTCTTGGTGCCGTCTTGGTGCCGTCTTGGTGCCCTCTTGGGTTGTTTAGGGGCCCTCTTGGGCCGTCTTGGGGCCCTTAGGCCGCGTCACTCCCCCCCAAAAAATAGAAAACGAGGCATGGGAGCCGCCCGGGAGCCGCTTCATTCGAAAAAATACAAAAAGGAAACGGCCCCCCGGCGGCCATTAGACCTGCTTGGCACGGGGACGGAAAGCGCACTTACTTTCAGAGCGCACGAGATCGCTGGTTCGTCCGCTCTTACACCTCTTATTGACTCCCTTCCCCTCGCTCTTGTCCTATCTCAGCCTCGGAGAGTCGCGGAGCTTTCTTTGAGCGCGTTTCTTGTTGTGGAGGGGGCGGTCGG